TCGGCAGCAGCGACTCGTCAAGCGCTTCTTCTCGGGCAGGGCAGCGAGCTCTTTCTCGCATGCTCAAACTTGATGCGCTCCTTCTCGTCATGTGCGAGCAGTTCTTCTCGGCGTCCGTCGTCAGGTTGAGGTGGAAGGTTCGGATGATCGAGTCAGCGTCGTCGACAGCAATGGGACGCACATCAGCCAGCGCCTTGATTTTTCTGCGTGACAACCTTGACCTGGGGCGTCGGTCATGGTGAGGCCGAGCTGCTCGACACGGCTCTGATGGCGTTTCAGCCGGTGAGCCTAGAGGCGAAGTGGACGTAGCGGCTCATGCCGAAATCGGCGGGGTTGATGATTTCTGGGAAAAGGTCAGAAAAGATCGCACCGTGAATTTGGTATTCTTTTTATCAGAGCTTACCATAGGTGGAGGGGTTGTTGAGGATAGCCTTGGCGTGGATGCCAGCCTTGTGGGTGAAGGCGCAGAAGCCGGTGATGTAGTTGTTGAAGGGGATGTTGATCTCGACGCTCTCGGCAACAAGGTCCTCCAGGGCCTTGAGCTTGTGCAGCTTGTACTTGCTAGTAACGTACTCGTGGTCGGCGACGATCATCCTTGCCATGAGGCCACCCAGAGGGGTGATGCCGTTGCGCTCACCGATACCGATGACGGAGGTATCGACTAAGTAAGAGTTAGAGATCAGGTTCGGCTAGTTCAGAAGACTGAAGGACTCACTGTGCGTGGCGCCAGCCTCGAGGGCGCAGTAGGCGTTCGCAATGGCGCAACCGGTGTCGTTGTGGCTATCGTGTGTTAGTTTCGTGCTCCCAGATGCCTGTTTGAATGGGTCTGGAACAATTACGTACAAATGCGTCTCAATGTCGCAGCTGACGACACCTCTGTAGAACGATTGTCAGCAAACAAGCCGCGCTTCAGAGCAACCGGGTGGCGTGACTCACCTCAGGGTCCTGACGAGATCGTAAACCTGGCGCGGGCTGGCGCATCCAACGGTGTCGGCGATACCAACACGGTGCACACCGACCTTGTCTACGGCGCTGTAGACGGAGAGAAGGTCGACAAGGTCACTGCGAAACGAATCCTCACTAGAGAAACGAATCTCGAGACCCTTCGACTTGACGAACTGAATGACCTCAACGGCAGTCTGCAGCTGGTTAGCTCGAGTTATGGACATCTACGGCATGACGTACGTTGATGATGTAGGTCATGTCCTTGCCGTGGGAGTGCTCGCGCAGGTAGGAGGAAGTGCCGATGACGACGTCGACACCATCGACACCAGTCTCGACGGCCAGACGGGCGTCATCCATATGGCAGCGCACGTGAGTCAGGATCTTGGCCTTGAGGCCGAGCTTGCAGATAGCCTCGCAGTCCCTACGGGATTGTTCGCTGTTTTCCAGCATGTTAGCCAGCCAACCTCCACTGGTCTTGTGTCTATGAAAATAAAGGAACTCACGAAGCGGCAGGGCTCGTCAGTTCGATATAGTCGACGCCAAAGTCATCGAGAGCCTTGGCAATCTTGATCTTAGTCTCGGTGTCGAAGAAGGCGTTGGCGAACTGCTCGCCCTCACGGAGAGTGGACTCGACTGTGGGAGGAAAGTCAGACATGGGCGCCACCAGGGTCGAGGCTGGGGTTGGCCTTAAGACAACATACTGATCTTGAATCTTGAGACATTGCTCAGGAAGTCGCCGACTGGCTTGTAAGGGCTGTCCTTCTGGGTGCGGGTCTTGTGCGGATTAGCAGCTGTTGCGAGCGTCGCGGGGGGTCACGAGGGCATTGAAGCAAGCCACGAGCGCAGGTCGGAGGGTTGCGCCTACCTGGACACCGGTGTAACCGGGATGGTCTGGCAGTGGAGGTCAGCAAGACAAGTCCGTGATGCGCGAGAGAGCTCGGAAAATGACGAACCTCCAGTCTTGCCATTGGCACCGTTGGAGGTGCCGTTGGTGCCGTTGGTGTGGCCATTGACGGCCGGCGTGTCGGGCGTAGGGCACATGGCTGCGGTTTGTGTAGGGTGGGAGGGGGCGTGACTGTGGCAGGTAGGTGGTGTCGAGTCTCGATAGGTGACGGTGATGGGTAGAATTGAAGTCAGGAATGATGGAACGGGAGGGGGGATTGGGCCGTCGGTTTGTGCTTTTATGGTCGAGGGGATTTCCAAAGTTGAGTCACAACAGGGAAAGGGAAATCTGGGGATCGGTGATTGAACAGAGGCGCAGGTAGGTACGACTATGAGGAAGGATACCTACATGTAGGTAGGTCCAGTAGGTACATGTACTACGAGGGTAGGTGGAGGCCAGCAGTCTTCCTCCATGTGCCTCAGCTCAGCTACTGTGGGTTTTTTTTTCTCCGCCCTCTTGCCTCTTTGCCTCAATTCTGCTTCCTGTTGCCCCTCCGTGTCTCTGCACTCTGCATTGTCTGCGCTTGCCGGCTGCGCGTGCTGGTTCTCTGCGTGCTTCGCTCTGCTCCGACGGCCAGCCGGGGCCATTGCCATTGGCATTTGCCATTTGCAGGCGCTAGGACTGGGTGACAAGGGTCTGTATGCCCCCCTCCAGGGCCCCGCCAAACCCCACGCGTCGCCTTGCTTGACGCCATTCTGCGAGAAGGAGCCAATCGTCTTGCACCAGTGTCCTGATTCCCGGCGAGCCACAGGCACAGGGCCCCTGGACTTTTTTTCTGTGGTGGACCGTGCTTCCTGGAGTCACCGCCAGTTTTTTTTTTTTTTCCTTTCCACTCTGTTCTGCCCAGTGACGCATGCAGTCCATCCGAGGCGGAGTTTTAGTTGGAGGACCCGGTACGTACTTTGGGGTTTCACCCCGACCATCGGACCGCCCGCCTGTCGATGACTAACGAACGTTGTCAGTGCTTGTGGCTGGTTGGACAGACTTGTGGCAGAGGATCGGGGATGTTTTACTGAGAGGAACATTAAGATGCTTCTTGCAGTAATCAATAGCTTCTGCTTATTATTTGAAGGGTCGTAAGTTTTTTTCCAATCCCGACTAGACCTGATGACTGCAGGGTCAAGCTCATGAATTGCCATTCCTATCATAAATGAATATTCATCAACACATCTTTCACAGATTACGCTCGCAATTTCTCAAGATAGCGTTTCACCAAACATAACTTGCACCCTACCGAGACGCAGACAGAAAAAGAAAACCTCACCATTGTCACGAGCAGCCGTGCCAAAGTCTCCAAGGCCTGCGCTCCTGTGGCCTCGGCGTACCTTGAACTTCGCCAACAAGGCCTAAAAAACGGTGGAAGCAACCAGGAGGACACTTAACGATGCAAGACAGGTAGCCGTTAACAACATCCTTTACCCGACAAGCCCCCTTAAGCCTCCCAGCCTCACCATTTGTCGACCTCCCACGTCTGCTACAATACTCCTCGGTTTTTGATGAACCCCTCAGACAGTCGAGGCCTACTGCACGAGGAAAATAATCTTGCCGGGGCGCAACTGGACGTCTGGCTTGACGGTAATAGACCTTGGGCTCATCCTGACTTTAAACAATGGCTTTCCATGTCCACTTGCTAGGCCTACAGCACAATCCAAGTATAAAAAAGACAATCCAACACATGCTCCGTCCGTTTGCTGTCGTGTCCCGGTAGTTCTTTCTTGTCGCTCAGCTCCAAACCTCTCCGAATCATCAGCATCATGATCGTCCTCCGCCCGTTCCTCCTCCTTGTCGCCCTCGGCACCCTTTCCGAGGCGTCCAAGAAGTCCAGCAAACCCCCCCTGGGCTCTACCGTTCCCAAGGAGGAAGACATTCCCCAAAAGAATGTCGTTCACGGAGGTACCCACTCCGGTGTCCCTCAGCACCCGCCGCGCCCACCGTACCCACCGCACGCATCCCCGGGCGCACCACCCGCGCAGATGCAAGGCGCCGGCCCGGCCATCAACATTGCGAGCCCCATCACCATGCCCCTGGTGACTACCAGCCCAGGCGGGGGCGGCGGCGGCTCGCCCCCCCTCCACGTAGCTCCCGTTTATCACGCGCCCGTCTACTATCCGCCGGCGCCGGTGCCCGCCTCGCCGGCGCCGGTTTACAACCCACAACAGCCTTCTCCTCAGCCGGCCGCCGGCGCCGCACGGTCGCAACCTGCGGCACTGCATGTTGCGCTCACACAGCCGGCCATGACGGATCTAGACGGTCTCATCGCCTCGGATGCCGAAGAACCCGTCGCGTCCAGCCCCCCAGGCCGACACCGCCGCCGCCAAATCGTTGAAGCTGAATGTCTCGCTTCGGAAGCATGATGGATGAATAGTGATGGTGAAGGCTATTGCGAGCTTGAGCCTGCTTGCTCGAGAGGTTCAAATGGCTGAGGAACTTATTGTTGTGAGACAGAATGACATACGTTTTGGCTTGGTACTCTTGGACACGAAATTAGCAAAAAAAAAACACATCCTCTTCAATAGCACATCCTTGCCCATTATGGATTTCGATGCGATGAATACTCTGTACAATTCAGAATGATGCCCCCTTAACGCCCATGGCTCGCCTCACGGGTCATTCACATGTCTGGTCCCATACGTGCCCTGGCCCCGATGGCCATTTTTCTCGTCACCAAACTCCAAATACTCTAACAAAATCGAATCAAAACCACCTGCGAATCATTTCTCAGTCCAAACAGTTCCCAGCTAGATCCCTCAATGCGTCACAGGATTTGTGATGCCCCCGAACCGTTGACTCATTTCGGTTCTCGACCATCCCGCTGCTCTTGATCATTGTGTTGGAACGGCTGATCACTCTGGGCAGGCGTGTTCAAAAATTCTCCCGAGTGATAGCCCGAAATTGCTTGGAAATTCCGGGGAGCCCGTACTGGGACAGTTCGCTGACCTTGCTGCGTTCTGACAGCATTGTGCCTTTGTCGACCAAAGGCGTCTCGTTGTTCGCTAGGCTCGACTTGTCGGGAAGGCTGCTGTCGCGGAGAGTAGGCACCGGATACAGTCCTACTACGCAGAGAATACCGAGATTGCAAAGTGTATTGCTGAGAAACCACAGGTCGAGGGCGTAGCCGAGGCAACCCAGCTCCATCTTGGCTGGAATTAGGGGCAGAATCTTGAGAACGGCGGGCGTCGCGGAGACTTTGATGGATGTCGGCCGTGGCACGTTGAATAAATGCAGTCGACTCGAGAGGCCGAAAAGGCGGTAGCAGCTCGTAGGAAACATTGCCAGGATTCTTTCTCTTGACTTCATCCAGTACCGTTGCCCTGGTGGTTTTGTACAATGGCGACATGGTTGGATCAACGGGATTGCAGCTGAGTGTGTTTTCAGCCCCAACACGTGCCCGATGCCGAGTCCTCACAGTTTCTCTGCTCAGAGTGGTGGGAGCAGGGGTTCTGATCGGAGCGGGTTTCTCGTCGCGGGTAATTATGGTCGTCTTTGTGGTTTAATGTCAGACAAACCCCTGACGACATGTGTATTTCCATCATATGTGTCCAGCGACTCGCTTTGCAGCTGATGACCTCGTCATCGCG